ACAACACCTATATCTTACTTAAATGAGCTTTACTTATGAAAGTGTAATACCTTTTCATAGAGATATGCAAGCATAAATGTTTCATTTACCACCCTACATGTTACTCTCTTTTCCATTTTAAAAAGTGTTGATACTTTCTTTCGTATGAATCCTTTGATTTTTGTGGAAGTAAATTCTCAGTAGCAGATTCGGCTTCCTCAGTTATATCTGGAATATCGCACTCCAAACTTACGAAACAAGTCGCCAAAACCAGACGCAAATTCTACACGCTTAATCAATTGTGGTAGTACTGAGAAATTGAGAGGCGTTAATTAATAGAAGAACATCTGCATCTCTACAACAAAACCGCATGGTATGAATGAGAACTCTATCTAAAATTTTAAACCTAAAATTGGGGGTGAGTATACGAAAAATAATCGTACGCAAATCGGCCGAAATTGAATGATTTTGAACTCGGTTAGTTTACCAACTTCAACTCCGCCTCACCTCGGTTGGTAAACACTGCATCCAAAATCATTTTTCTACCTAGATACATAAATAACTATTTTCTGTCGAAAATTCTCCGTTTTCCGTTGCACAATTACAATACTTTCTATTATTAGGAAGTAAGGGCGAGAAAGTAAAAGGTGGAAAAAGAGAAAAGAAGACAACAATAATGATATAATACCTTAAGGGCTCCTAAGCACTACGAAACTAGGTGTCCCGTGTTAATATTATATTATTAAACATACGTAATCAAACTCAATAAGAAACTATGAATAAAAATTATACTTTGCAATTTTAAAAATTTGATATTCAAATAGGTGTATAATATACGTGCAAATATAATTTAAAATAATTGACTTAATTTTTGTGCGGCAAAATGTTTAAAAATGCTCTACCAAAGTTTTCCTTTATTAATTTTTTTGTATCGTTAATAAAATTTGTAAACTTGTTTTTTTCTTATCATGTGCTTAGTCTGCTTATGTATTAATCCATCCCTGGTGGTTAATCAGATGTGAATAATATTTACGTTAATATTGAGTCACGTGACATGCACATATAAGTATCATTTACTCAAGTGGAGTGGGAGAACGGACGAACGGAAAAAGTGACGTTTTTGAATCTGTAGTTAATAATATAATATACCAAACGTGTGTAAAGAATATTCTTTTTAAAAATATACTTTATTAAAAAATAAAGATTAAATAGTAATTTTTTACATAAGACAGTATTTTTATCACGTGAATAATTTATTTTATTCCTTTTATTTCAATAAAATACAAAATACAGAAAGTAATGTTAAGTTACGCCATGTTAAATAATTTTAAGTGTCTCTGCAAGGATTGCCCATGAGAGTAGTTTGCTAGAGTCTATAGAGCTCTCTAGCCTTGCTAGAGTCCGTAGGATCTCCATAGTTTGCCCCTTTGGGACGCCCAGAAGAATAGTTACAAGTTTTATAATCCGTAGATGATAAGTAGTTACTTAAGCTAGATATCAACCATTACGAAGCGAGGTTGATGTACTGGTTAAAATTTGGGGGAAAGCAACAAAACTGTAACGTTAAGAAGATCAGTGCTTCTGCCAAATGCAAGGTTTGAACGAGTAATTCTTGTTTTTACTCCTGCAATGAAACTTGGAATACTCGAAGGTGAAAATGGGTGTCAGTACCATTATGTTTCGTATGACGGCGCGTTGCAATGCTAAGGAGCCTAAGGCGCTACTATTAACGTCGTGTAATGATCTCGTAGCTGACGTTCCTGAAAATCAGCGTTACATCTACGAATAAATACTGGTGCTTGGGATTCTCGAGTTGCTTCGACAAACGCATGTCGCCGTATGTGACATTGAGCAGATTCGTGCGGGTGTCCTGGTGGGCAGTTATTGTCATGCAGAAATCGCTCCGGGGAAGGGGACAGTCCTCGTCACACATCTCGCTGCTGCATCGCCCGCCGGGCAAGAATGCCAGGAAGTCATAAGGGACGTGAGCGACTTCCTTCGCGCGCCTCCTCCTCGTCCTCCATCTCCTCCTCCATCTCTTCCTCCTTCTCTTCCTCCTCCTCCTCCTCTTGCTCGCCCTCCTCCTCCTCCTCCTCCTTCGCCACCGCCTCCTCGTCCTCGTCCTCCTCCTCCTCCTTCGCCACCGCCTCCTCGTCCTCGTCCTCGTTCTCGTCTTCGTGCTCGTCCTCGTCCTCGTCTTCGTCCTCGTTCTCGTCCTCGTCCCTTTCCGCCTCCTCCCCCGCTTCTGCCTCCTCCTTCGCCTCCTTCACCTCCGCCTCCAGAAAGTGGCGTTGCGTCGCAAGCGAACTCGCGCGCGCGGACGCGAGCGACAGTACGCGACGCGACGCGACGTGTCGTTCGGCGGCCGTGCGCCTTGCTCTCTCTCTCTCTCTCTCCCTCTCTTCCTCTCTCCCTCTCTCCCTCTCTCTCTTGAGAGAGAGGGATGGTGCAAGGAGAGGGAAGGAGAGAGAGAGAGAGAGAGAGAGAGAGAGAGAGAGAGATGGCGCAAGGCGCGCACTTGACACGCGTGTGCCCCAGCCGGTGCATACAAACGCGGCGCGCCTCCGAGGACGCGGAGCATTGCCACGGAGGATTGCTGCATCCAGGAACGGCATTTCGCATACCAAGTGGGCCACATTGGCGTTTTCACCTGCGACCCCGGCGAAGGCGCTGCCGCGTCCCAGCGGACGCAGACGGGACGCCCTCCCCGGCTTCCTCCTTCCTGTCGCGTGCGTCGGCACGAGGCGGCGTGGGTTTGCTTACCTTGTCCCAGGTCACTTCGGCGCGATGCTTGACCGGTTCCCGATAGTGGGTTAGGATTGCACCGATCCTGCTGCATCCCTCTATTTTGCGTGCCAACGGTCTCCTATTAGCATTTTTGTCTTTTGCGTTGTTGCCTTTGTGAGTGTGGAATACTCTAAAAAAACTCTCACACAATCGTTAGTTTTGTCTTTGGGTTTTTTACTCCTACAAGTGCTAAGCAATAATGTAGTGAAAATTAAAAGGGTTGTTTGATGTTACTTATCTCGTTTGTTCATTTGGTCAGTTACGCCTATGTCGTTTTTCAATTTGTCCTTGACGTATTTTGTCGTTAAATCGATTAAATCTACATCACTGTGCAGCTTTCTGCCTATCACTATGTTGCTTACTCTAATGTAGATCCTGTTTTTGTAATTTATATATTTATATAGCATACATTAGGTTAGGTTATAAGTAGTATTTTGTTGATGTTAGTATTTTTAACTTTCTTGAGTTTTCATCTAAAAATTCAAATTTGACTTTCTCTAATAATTTCATGATTTTTGAGTGTGTGTGTGTATATATATATATATATATATATATATATATATATATATAAGGTGGTTTGATAATCAGACAGAGGAAACGTTTACAACATGCCACGTAGGCTCCCAGCGTTGGCGATAAATTTTGGATTCTTTATTTGCCCGCCAGGAAGCGCCGCATCAACGGTCTTCTCAAATAATGGATAAATATTAATAAGTTTCCCGCCAACGATGAATGGGGGTTGATTAGGTTAAAAATTATCGGAGGATACAGATTTCTCGAGTATTTTTTCCCAAGTCGCAAATATCCCGTTATCACTGTGTAGTTTGCGCCCTTCGAAACTCCAAGCACCTCAGGCGGGATTGAAACGTGCTTTGCGGTTGAGAGGTGTGTAAGCTAACCATTTCCCGAGGTGCACATTCTAGGAGAATTGTGGCGGCATTTCCATCCAGCCAGTCCATCTGCGCTCAATCGTTTGATCGTAGGTACGCCTTAGATGTGACACTGGAGATCCAATTACAGTATTTTTAGGACCCAGTTATTTTTGTGATATAAATTCAAGTCGTGTGCAAAGCTAACGGAGTCACTCGTCCAGCAGCAGATGGACCTGATGGTGCCTATTGTCCTCGATCAGACGCAAGCAAGTATTCACGGCGACAAGGACGTCACACTAATCGCAGTATACGGGATGTCTGTACGACGAGAGAGATACGCTGTTGGTTCTTTGCTTGTTAAGGATGAAAGTAGTGACTGCAATGAGTAACGCTTTTCTTCTTTTTCACAGATCCTGTTGCCCCAACTACCCGCAATCGTAAGCTGTCCGACTCCGATTGGCTTCTCTTGGAGACGTTGGACAAACGATGTCAGCGACCTTTGTACACTAGAAGGTTTCTTACAATGCATAAAAGACGTCGGAAAAAGCTCACTACTCGCCTTCTGACGCTAGAGCCAGCCTTGCTGGACGATATCCAACACGGACAGGTGCAGGTACGTTCTACCGAATTATCACTTTTGGGGGTCCAAGTCTCACGTGATATTATACATCTCATTTGTGCGTGGTGTCGACGCCCTCGAAGTACTAAAATTAGTACTAACAAGCAAAGTGACAATAACAAATCTGTCTTTCTTTCTTTCTTTCTTTTTCTCTTACTATTGCTGGAAAACAAAAACTGGAACCAATAAACTGAGAACAGTGTCTGCAATAAATGCAACAACTAATGAAATTGAGGGTGTCAATATGTAAGTGGAAAACATTAGAATGGTCGTCTTAAAGTGGTATTGGATGCTGTAAATGTACTTTTATGGGCTCTGATGTGACAATATAATTAATGTATACAATGTATAATAAATCTATAATATACGCGAAGGAACGATGAAAGTACTTTGGCAATTTATGAGAAACCATCGATACAAAACACTGTGCTACTGCTGGATAAGAAATAATCCCTTGGCGCTGCATCAAAAAGATTTAGCGTGAAAAAACTAGATGTTTGCATATTATGGTGTAGTTGGCCAGGAAGCAGGCGTACGTTCAACAAAAAACACACGTTATGCTGCTCTACCATCTACCCGAACTTGGGAACGATGCATCCGAGACCCTCAAAACCGGTTATTTATGGCCCTTGGGGAATAAGAGCCACGTTTCTTACGTCGTAATCGAGACCCTTTTGAACCTTCTGTTATACTTTTGAGATTTAACTCTCCTAGGTACTGCGATTCCCCGCATTGTGTGTGTGTGTGTGTGTGTGTGTGTGTGTGTGTGTGTGTGTGTGTGTGTGTGTGTGTGTGTGTATGTGTGAGCGCGCGCGCACCCTCGTCCACTTTTTCCATTGCAATCGTTTTGTGCACCAACCCGACTTGCGCGAGGTCCGTATCCACCGTGTGCTGTTAGGTCTTCAGACAACGCACAGTGGTTTACTTCAAATGAGGGTGTAGCATCCCTCCAATGTCTTATGGCCCAAATTTTTACTTGACAACAAAGAAAAAATGGAAAAATCTTAAAAAGAATGATCTTAGGGATAAGGTAATGGTATATGAGAAAGGAAAAACAAATTATTTAACACATTTGTAATATAAACAACCACATTAGAATTAAATTCACTGAGATACACTTAAAAGAATGAAAAACAACAAAAAATTCAAAAAATAGAAATACATAAAATGAGAACTGCAAAACACACAAAAATTACACAGATACACGACAGGTAGAAAATGTTAAACCCCTTAAAGCAGACACACGCTTATACACACTTTCGTATATACAATGTCCGTAAGGATTCTTCCTAACTGTAACAGTGCTATCTAAATTTTCACTCGAAATTTCACTTGTGAGGTATTCTCAAGTTCCTCGTAAATTTTACCCTTTACTCGTGAAGTAAATAATTTCGTTGTTTGACAATTTAAATTACTATTGGAATAGTTAAAGGAGCTTTTACCTTTATGAAGCTCCGAAGAATAGAAAAGTATACATAAGCGAAAATTACATAGACAGATGTTCATAAATATGAATTTACATTGATATTCTACACAAATATTTCTTTTAAGAATTAAACTATTTACAAAAGATTTTGCATGAATTATAATGAATAGCATGGAAAATTACTTCAAAGTCATTCCCCTTAACTAAAGTGCATAATATTTCCCTTCAAAATATACTGACTTCTGACTTCGAAAGTTCCAGTGACCTCATTTGAATTTTCTACTCCCCCATTACTCTGCGGAATATGCACCGCGCGCCGCGCAACCTTGACAGAGCAGCAAGCGCAGGTAACGGGATTTTCTCCCATCTGTGAAAAGTGTTGGAGCGATCTGATTGCTGAGCGAACAAATTAAAAAATCCTCAGACGTGAACATTATTGAGCATATCTGGGGTGCCTTGCAACGTGCTGTCCAGAAGAGATCTCCACCCCCTCGTACTCTTATGAGTTTATAGACAGCTCTGCAGGATTCATGGTGTCAGTTATTACTCGCGTAACTTTTCTTGAACGATGACTTTGATCCCCCTCCCTTGTGTTGAGTGTAAACAGTTGAAGGCAAAAGCTCGCAGCGGGCACTGATGACAACCTTCCAAGCATTGAAACTTCGTTGGCGCGAAACAGAAGCTAGTCAAAGCCAGTTGCTTTCATTGTGCAGAACCCCTGTTCAGGTTTATTGTCAATATTGAAAGAAATGGTCAGAAGGAAAAAGTCAGGTCCAGGTCCTTCAAGGTAGACACCTAAAACTCCCGAAAAAGTGTAGAGGACATATAGCGTATATTTCATTCCACAGACGTTGGCATTTCTTAAAATACTCCAGTGGCCGACTTTGTAACTAATACTCCCACTCCACCCGAAATCGTCAATCCATCGTTCAAGAAAAGTTGCCCGAGTCATACCTCCAGCACTACCGAGTCCATGCCACGTCGTGTTGCGGCACTTGTGAGTGCTCGTGGAGCCCTATACGATATTAGGCAGGTGTACCAGTATTTTTGGCTCTTCGATGTATAATAGATTGAAATAGATTCCGTGTGTTTCGTCTCCTCCGTTAACGAAAGCGTCCTATTCTTCGAGCGGCCTCTGATAAAATGGGGCGATCCAGTATAGGGAATCTTTGAAGCGGTGCGTTCAGGTCGATCGAGATATCGAACCTACTACGCTAATCTTTTCATTACTACGCATAGTGCTGGCGGTGTCAAACACTGCCAAATTAGTTTCTTGATTTCAGTGGACAGCGAAGTATTTCACGAATGTGAATACGTGAACGGTTACAGTACACCCGTGCATAAATGGTGCAGCAAGACGAGATCTATGTAAAATTAAATTGAAGGATTATAGACAGAAACGATCTTCGGCGATAAAACTAAGGTGACTATTTGATTTCCTGTGCAATTTAGTTTCAACGCTTAGCAATATTTGAATGTTTATTCACGTACACCATCGGGACTATAACGCTCTAAGACAACGGCTGTCCGTTCCAAGTTGGAATCCAGTATGAAGTAGAGCTCCGCCTTCTGCGGAAAACTGCCGTCCGCCGCTTGCGGTCCTACATGGCGAGTGCTCGGAGTAAGACCGGGAAGGCGTGTGCCGCGTACGCCGCTCTTGTGAATCTCGGAAACTACCGGCTGACCGGCGACCCGCCGTCGCTCGTGTCGGTTGCCGTCGGGCGCTACTTCAAGTCGCTCGCTCGTAGCGCTTTCAGTGCATTCTCGATATCCAGAAGCCTTTCGCGAAGCTATCCTTTCTAACATCACGTTCGCCTTTCACATTAACCAAGTACCCATGTAATAAAATATTGGGAGTGAGAAAATGGCTTTGCAATCATGTAGCACCGGAAGAAATTAGGAAATTGAAATGGAGAGGAAGATGATAAAAGAACGATTGAACTTGGTAGACATTTCTGAATTAAAAAACATAATTTTTATTACAAGATTTTGCCATTAAAACCTGGTAAAATTTTGCAAATCTAAATCTAATTGTATATAAATAGCTCATAATAATTACTTAAGGAATATAATGAAGAAAATAAGGGATTGATGGTTTTGCAAGAATAATTTTAATTTAAAATATTCTGTGATTTTTAGATTTGGATTTATTTTGTCAAAAAACAGTAAAAACTGTACATGACGTGTGGGGAAGAAGATCATTTTTCGCATGTTTTCTTGAGTTCCAGAATCCCTTCCCATCATTTTTACTATAAATAGTTGAAGGATGAGTAAAAGTTAAAGATAAATAATTAAAAATGAAAATAAAAAAATAGAGCGCGAGATTAGCAACATTTGAAAAACTAGACATTTTCGTTCCCGAGTTATAGAAAACTGATTTGCAACGGTAAACGAACTGCAGGTTTGATTTTTCTGCATTGCTAACAAAATAGTAGCTCACCCTTACCTCTACTCCTACCACAACAAGCAAAAGGAGAGTTCAACAAAACGTGCGCATACTGTCGCTACATTTACGTCCAGAAGCAAAAAAATGGTCCATCCTGGGCATTTGCTCAATGTATCAGGGAAACTGGACAAAACCTGATCGAGAATGAAGTTGAGTACATTATTTGTTACAAGCATATTAAGTATTTTTTAAAAAAAAATAGACAATACATATGTAAACTTTTTCATTATATATCACTGTTTTGTAAAAATAAACATTATTTTTCTTTTTGATGATCAATATAGTCTCTAATTGTATTGAAACAGTTATGCAGCAGAAAAAGATTTTACTTTTAACTTAAATTTGTGTACCTACTTCAATTGATTAATGTCATCTGACAATGAGTTGTAAAGTAACGTAGATGTATTGTATGTGGATTTCTGGTGGTGAGCTGTTGATACAGACACTTGATGTACGTGATTTCTACGACGTGTGTTGTAATTTGAATGAATTGAATTTGAGTGAAGGAATTAAAATAATGAGCGAGGAACTTATATTACATGATAATTCGATAGAGTAAGTTTGTAATCATCCTAGAGGATTCAGTCAACGATAGCTGCAGGAATTCGACGAAGGAGAAACGTTATTTGAGAACGTAGGCTTCCGCGGCCGGAGTCAGTATTTACTAGGCTCTCCGGGTGACGCCGCGTCCATGGCGAAGGTGCCGACGTTTCGGTCGCCATTCTGCGACCTTCCTCGCATTACGCCCTGAGGACGCGTTTTGTAATACTGAACTAAAGTTCATCAATTTATTAATGTATGTTATTAACTCATCTTAATAAAATTATTGTTCGCTTTATTATTATTATAATAATAATAATAATAATAATTATTATTATTATTATTATTATTATTATTATTATATTTCTTCTCAAAATACAGAAACGAATAAGTATTTGGTATATAAATTTGAAGATCCGCGAAATGAAATGAATTTTTTTTTAATTTGTCTCAAGATTAGGGGGGGGGGCAGTGCCCATCCCCTTTGCCCCTCCCCCGCCCCTGAATCCCGCCTCTGCGTATGATGGAAGGTACCAACTGAATGGTGATCGACTGAAAAATATTTAGAGCCTAAACAAAATTCTATTGGGAAATATCTGCTCTGAACGGTCACTGCCCCAGACTACAAGTGGTGTAATTTAGTATGTTTATGATAAAACTTGCGTTTTGTAGTTGTATTGATGAACGACATTATTTTCGGGAATTTTCTCGCCAAAATATATTTGGTAATCAGCCACGTGAGATGAAACAATTCGCCACTGCACGTATTTCAAAACGTACAATCATCATCATCATCATAAAATTTTTTCTTCTCCACTTAATCAGACATTTGCAATCATATTGATAATTTACCTGCTGAGATGGCTCATGGCATTAGGTGATGTCACTGCAATGTCTCTGACCGGGAAATCTTAAGGTTCGGGCCCCTCGGGTGGCTATTGGATAGCGTACTAGTTTTCTGCGAGGCGGTCGTGTGTTCGATTCCCGGCAGGGGTAAAAATGAAGCTATAGTTTTCTAATACAAATCGTCTCAGTTTCTGTTGCTGTGTGACGAGAGAATCCCCAGGGCGGCCAAATAAGCTAGATACGGTGATGGGAATACGTCATGCTCCCCACTTGCGTATGCGTTTATCCCCAGGCGTGGATAATAAATAAAATCAGAACCCAGGCCTGGGAACACCGCCAGCTGTCAAAAGTTGCATGAATCGGACCGTAAATGCCAAATACATTCACATACGTTGATTAAGTAACATTCGTAAATAGTACTACTCGTGCCCTTTTTTCTTGAACTTGGGATTACCGTTCGGCTCAGTTCGGCATAATAAAATCCGTATAGTTTTATGTATAAATTCCTGCACGACTCGTGTTGAAGTGGGTGAGAGTGAATCAAAAAGAAGTGCGCAACTACATGCATACACCATTCTTTCAGATATAGTTGTGTTTCCGAATCAGTGTTGACAGAACAGCTTCTAAAAGTTCATACCAATTTTGAGATTTGAACGCAAACTGGGGCAAATAAATAAATATATTGACTGATATGCTGGGGCGAGTGGCCGAGTTGTCCCCTCCTGCTAAGCGGACCCGGGGGACGTCTGCAGCGCAGTTGGCGGACCGCCAGATTCCGTACCTGTCACGGACAGCCCCATCGATACACGGAGTACCCTATTGCGCACGATTGGGTATCCGCCAATAAGCAATAGGAGTCAAAATATGTTTTGGGAGGGAACTTCAAAATTCCTGAATTCTTTAAATTCATCATGCGCACAACTTCTTCCATTACTTGCGTTATTTCTGTTCTTTTGCGTTTCTTATGAAAATACGTGTCATTTTAGTACATGGTGGAATGGATGTATATTAGCTCATGGTGTGCTGAATTAGTATTCGTGTAAGGTTTGCTTGTATTAGTATTAGTGATTACTGTTAGTAATTAATGATTTTTTTCGTTTTTTAGGGGGTCATTCCATAAATGTGTATGGAAAAATAGCCCTTTTATTATCCCCTCCCTCTTCCTACAATTTTATAACACAAATATTTTATCCTTCTGGTAATAAATCCTCCTCTTTAAAGTGGACTGACTCATGAATTGCAATTTTAGCTGAGTAATAAAAAAACAAAGCAGTGAATGAAGGAAAGAAAATAATGACTGTTGTATAAGCATTTTTCTCAGAAAAATGTCTTTTGAGACACTTTTCTTGTGAATTGTACCAAAATATTTCGAAGTGGAATACTTTTTTTTGTAGTGGAACACTTTTCAAATCCTCCCTCTCCTTCACACACATTGCCCCAAAGTCACTTGTAAAAAAGCCACTACCACCACCACCACCACTTGTACTTGAATGACCCTTAGAAACCAAATTCTACCTTTGTTAATGTATTAGGAACATCCTACATAACACTGAGATGATGTCAACTTGTTTCCCGGGTATTGTGTCATGCACAATATTTAAATTCTTTTATCAGAAATTGGATAGTCATTGTAAACTGTGTCATACATAACTTCTTTGGTCTATTCTTAATGCCACTATCTCTTTTGCAACTTGAAATTTGAGAATACTCACCAAAAAGAATTATGGTTGGAGACCAAAGAGGCTTAAAACATGAAGTAGTATATTTTTTGGATTTGAATTATGTGCTCCTTTCTTTTAAAATTCATGCGTCCTAATGCGACAATTTACAAGGAGTACTAGGTCAACAACAACCTAAAGCAAATAAAATACATTACTTTCTGAAAATAACATTTCATTAACAGCAACAAATTACATTTGTATAACTGTCTTGCAGATTTAAATCTACTACAATTACTATTTGTTAAACTTAGTTTTAAAGTAAATCCATAGTAAGATTGTATTTATTTTTGCAATCAAATAAATCTAATATTTAAATTATCTCTTTATGATGCATAATATCACTCTCCTCAATAAAATTAGTTTGTCTTTAAGAAGAATGATTTAAGTTTTGGAACAAAATATATGTTTGTCATTTAACTGTGCTTCAATTCCTTGAAAGTAGAGTATAATATAATTAATTACCTGATATTATATTTCTGTTAAGAAAATATATGAAAGTTGATTTATCTTTCTTTACAGTGTGTACTGGATCGTGTTTGGCAATGGCCATTCAATGCTTTCACATTGGATACTGTCACAGGCGGTTAGTATCTATTCTTTATCTACATAAATATAGAATTTTAATTATAATTAATAATTTTTCTAATTCATATTTCTAATATGTGTTCTAGGGCGTTCACTGCCAGTTTTATGTGTTCATTTGTTTCATTGGTATGGACTATTGGACCATTTCAATCTGGATGTTGTTAGAGTGTGGAAATTGTTTAGTAAGTATCAGTTAAATAAATCATATTCGTTTTGGATTTTTTTAACATCTATATATTGTGAAATTAAATTTCAGTATTATCATTTGAAACGCAAAAAGGATAGAATGTTTAGTCTTAAAAGATTTCCTTATAGCCTATAGTAAACTTTGTGTTGTTTTCACTACTTATTGTTAGGGACCAGGTAATTATGTACTAAAAATTAGTGAAATATGTACTTGCTATAATATTAAAAAATATGTACTAAAAAGTAAGAAAAATATTACATGTTAATTATCATTTAAACAATTCCATTTTCTGAAAATATCTTTATGTTACATATTGTTGTGTATACTTAATATAAAGACCAAAATTAAACCAAATACAGCACACAATTGTGTTATTTACAATGATGTCCATAAGAATAACAAATATTTGTTTCAAATTCTCAGAAATTGAACTTTCTCCTATTATCTCATATGATGGAACCAACTAAAAGAACGTTCATTGTATGAAGTATCTGGTGCAATTTTAAACTAGCACAGATCTTCTGGGGAGTATTTAATATATCGGAATTGTCCCCACATAGCACTGCACAAAACCACCAATTGTTTCGAATCCTGGGGATTTTTTTTCTGTTCTTTGCAGTACTCACACGGAAAACTAACACACATGAAGCATTGATTATTCATCGAGATGCATTGATTTCATCAATGCATTGTCATTTTGTTTTGCAATATCGCTCTTATTTCAAGTCTCATTTTAAAGTGATACTACGTTTTACAGAGGAGACTGCAGAAAATATATCTTTGACAATGCAGAATTGTTAGTCTGGGCTTTTCCCTTTCAGAAACAGATTGGATCAATGAAGAATTATACAAAAATAATTGCAGGAAAATGGATATACTCAGAAGTGTAAACATATATTTTTTTGTAAAATGTGTAAATATATATACCTTTGGACAAAATATGTAAATATATGTATTAAAACTCAACATTTTTAGGTATTAACCAATACAAAACACGAATAGATAGTTGATTTTACTTGATAGATACAACTTCGGAAAATATATAATTACATAATTATCCGGGCTCTAGTTATTGTATTAAAATCCCACTTACATTTCATTACTTACATTTATCTGCATCTGAAAGCAGTGTGTTTTGTTATTCTTTCTAATAATAGTATGCCACTTTCCAAGAATTGTAGGCACCAGCTGGACCCAACTCACTTTCATTATTGTATTGTAGCCTATAATGTTAAAACTTCATCTTGAAAACCTGGATGATTTAAGTACCTACAATAAAAAATAAATTGTGTTCACCAACAATATGCAACGGGAAATGTACAATATATATTATGTTATCAATATAATAATTATTAAATAAAAATTTTCTAAGCTCCAAAAAACTTTCTTTAGGCATAAGAAATTAGATTAAAATCTTTCAAAATATATTTGATTTATTTTGTTTCTTAACAATAATATACCCTTACATTTTAAATGCAGAAAGTTCAATTATTTTAAGCATGCATGTAATGTACCATCTGTTTCTTCCTGTGTCATGAATATATTATGCCAAATTTGAAAGAAGAGTTGACTTTTAAATATTTAATCATTTTAAAGTCATCTTTTACATCTTAGAAAGAAACTCATATTCTCAAGTCAGTTTCAATATTTCCTTTTGTGATTGTCTTTTGCAAGAGTTGTGTAAATGTTAAAGAAAATATTAAGGTTGAAGAACACTTATAGATCATTGATTTATTGTTCATGTACTTTTATTCTGGAATACTTGCATTTAAAGTCTTGTTGACATGATCACTTTGATGAATTGGACCTAGTTATGCAGTATGTAATTAATTACCATTTTACACAAACTGAGAAATCTGTATTTGAATTTAAAGAAGCTTTCACTAGAACCCTGTTACAAAAGACATCTGAGCCCATTTTTACCTCTTATAAATGTGAATTCTTTTAAGTGGGAAATTCTAATATAGTTTCACATATGTAATCCACTCAGTGTAATCTAAAAATTTTTACTGTCATTTTACCAACTTTTTTTGACAAATTATAATCACTTTTTGTTCAGTGCCCTCACAGTCATAATTTTAAAAACAACAATAAATTTAAGATAAATCTCTAAATTAAGATGTCTCTCTTCACAAAAATGGTGCATTGTTCAACTGATGATCAACATCAATATCACAATGGTGAAAAGCTCAATAGAAAGAAACGGAGGTGATGACCCTTGTGCTTGTGCTTTGGCAAATACTGCACATTTCACATTGTTCCTGCTCTCCTGAACATGATCAGAACATTAGCAGGAATGATCTCGTATGGAGATTGCATACCTTAATACTTTAAAAAATTAAAAATAAAATAATTACAGGAAATGGGAGCAAATTTTTACCTTTCACAGTTGAGGAGGATTACCTCTAGAAGGATATTTCTGCAGATGTGAATCTTTTCTTATTTAGCTTTTGTCAAGGTGCTTGAGAGTAAAATCAGTCAGTAAGTCACCTGTTTAAAGTGTACAAAACGTTGTCCTTTCTATTTGACAGTTATTGCTGGTAAAAAAAGTTCCTTATATTCTCTAATTCCAATTTTCTAAATAAAATCTGTGGTTCACCTTTGCCAATGTTAGGTATACTACAGGTAAATAAAACTCTAAAACTCTTACATGCTAAGAAAATGCTAATAAATTCTGCATTAGAACTCGAAACACCAGTATTATTTCTATCAAGTGGGTATAGTATAACAGATTTCTAATGTAAATTATAACATAGAATTGGGTGATATTTATTAAATTTTCCTTTGATGGTGTGTGATCACAAGTTAAGCCTTCAAAATTTTTTACAAAATATTTTATGTTTATGAATGGGGTAGGTGTGAGGAATAAAAATTTGAGATATTTTCCTTATGCTTTATTAGAGATTTTTGAAAGTACAATATGGAAAATGTATTTAAGATATTCAAAAATGTTCAGATCTTGAAAAAACAAAAGATTACATAAATCTATCACATTATTGCCGTCAATATCAAAATCCAACTTTGTGTTAGGTACATGAACAGCATTTAATATATTTTCATCTCCAATTATTTTTGTCTAAAACAGTTTGGTATCAACTGGAGCCAAATTTAGGATTGACTTAATGACATTCAGTTTCTGTTATAAAATCAGTTTTCCTCAGGTTAACAGTGCTTCTAACTTTGATGAGAAGAAATCTGGCATTCTTGTGTTAACTGATAGAGGACTTCCTCAACAATTTTTCTCTATGTCTACCACTTTGTAAAGACATCATTGTGGGCTGTTTGCATGAATATTTTGAAAGGTTCACTTTTCTCTTTGTATATTATATGCATTTCTTGTGAGTTATTCCAGTTTGTATTCTTAATAACTCTGAATAAAAAGAAATTAAAATGTTCAATCAATATTCAAATGTAAAATGTTTTTATAGGTATGTGAAAATTACAAGGATTAACTATTTAAACCTCGTAATCAGTATAAGAAAATATTAAAACATCAAAAACAATAGTTTATGATAATATATTATATTGACCATCAAATAAACCTAATATTGTTATAAGCAAAGGAAACTTAACTGACATGTTGGTGCTAGTTCCTTATTGCAAACATGAAGTGCTTATTTCAATACTTATAATTGAGGCTTTTATTCATAAAGCAGTAAAAGACAGAAATGTTACTAACATCTATTTTTATGGAAAGTGAATTCGTTTCATATTGCATAACCAAGTCCAATTTAGATAGGTATTCACTGTTCATACATCTTTGCATTACTATTTATCATCTTGTCTAACTTTTACCAAAGTATATTTTCACATCTAATTTCATTTCCAACCCTGTTTTTAAGTAGTATTTGGGTGGAATACAACCAATCATGTTACCGCTGTATGTAACTATCATTATTAAAAATTACATTTTGTGATCAGTGTGAAAAATTTGAACATCAGGCATTTCCACATCTAAACAAGAAAATGTGTGATTGATGCCTGGTAAAGTGCATATATTATTTAAATGTTCATATTTAAATACTTTAAGTGAATGTATCCAAGTAATGGAAATCAATTAAATCTCTTGTATTCCAAGTGGAAATGCTGATCTTCAGGGATGTACAGTAGATAGAATTCTTTGAGAACAACATAATTCTCTCAGTTTAGATAGAAACATAAGGTTTTGGCCCTCTTACTATTTTTGCACAAATGTAAAAAATATGGATGTTCCAATCTTGAAAGTGTTAGTTATGTTGAGTTTTGTCAATTTTGAATGTAATGGTAGTTATTTTTAGCAAAAAATAGAGTTCCTCCTATTGTCATTCCAACTTGTTTTTCGTTTGTGTTGATAGCTTTTTCCAAAATAGATTGCATTCATTTTTGTTCTCTCTGTATTAAATTTGGCTTTACAAATATTTTGTGAAATATTGATACAAGAGCAATAAAATAGAGTAGTGCATCTTTCCAATTTCCAGATCCTCAGTGTCTTTCTTCTATTCACAAACTATTCACTATATATTTCCATCTTCAAAAACACAAAAGAGGATGTGATTAATTTATTTGGAAAACCATAATTATAATAATTATTTGCCCAAATTCTTAGAGACTACCAAAAACTTTGGATGACATCCTTAGAGAGAGTAGAAATTTATACATAAGTTATTAATTGTGAACTAGTTTTATGTGAAAAAATTTGCATTATGTGTGTGAATGGAAGTGAACATTTTCTTTTGTAGCATAATATTTATTAGAAGTATTATACATTCATATGTAAATAATATTTTTTATTGTGTTCTCTAATTAGCCTTAGTAGAAGAAGGCTACCATAGTACAAATCCTTATCACAATTCGATCCATGCTACTGATGTGACACAAGCAATGCATTGCTTTCTGCAAGAAGACAAGGTAGTTGTTGTTTCCTAGTCTTGCATTAGCAGTTTTTAAATAAGTGATTTATAAACATTAAGTAAAACATATTAAATATGTAAATATCTATTTATTTTCCTTAGATTCAGAAGCATTTGACTCCTTTGGAAATTATGTCATCATTAATCGCAGCTGTAACACATGATCTGGATCATCCTGGTGTAAACCAACCATTTCTTATTGCTACATCAAATCATTTGGCAGCTCTATATGAGGTAAAATATTATTTTAGTTCTCCTGCTTCATCTACCTTTCTGTTAAAGGTCTTTTCTAATCATGTATAATTAGTTTCATGTAAATCATCAAGTCAATTTATGTTCTTTGTATGTTTTGGATTCAGTTTTTATTTTGTTCTTTAAGGGTTATTGTGCTTCAACTGAAATATAAACATACTCTACATAACAGAATATCATCATATCCATTAATGAAATAAATATTACCTTCTTCTGCTTCTAAGAATTAATGCAGATGATATTAAAATAATGTTTGATATACTAAAATAGTATTGTGTGCAGGTTATTATTTGTTACTTGAAACTATTTGTAGATTACCTTGCTACTTCCCACTTGTTAAAAACATGTTTTATGTTTGAGGGCCAATCAGATGGGGCCAAGTGTCTTAGCATTCTTACAAACTTTCCTAAAATACATTATTTCCTGTAAATGAGAATGTAACAATTTTCCATTTCTTGTTTCAGAATACTTCTGTTCTTGAGAATCACCACTGGCGTTCTGCCATAGGTTGTTTATTGGAAAGTCGTGTGGCTGAACAACTAGGGCCAAGCAAATGTGAACTGGAGCACCAGATCAGTTCTTTGATCTTGGCTACAGACATAACTCGTCAACAAGAATTTTTAACACGCTTCAAGGTACTAATCAAATAAAATTGCTAGAAATTTGAGAAATGTGAATGAATCATGCTTAGAGTTGTAGCTGATTTTACTTTTTTCTTCTTGTTGCAGCGCTATCTAGATCAAAGCCTTCTTGATATGCACAGAGTCAATGATCGGCATTTTATTCTTCAAATTGCCTTGAAGTGTGCTGATATTTCAAACCCATGCCGACCCTGGGATGTGAGTCGAAAATGGAGTCAGAAAGTATGTGAAGAGTTCTTCCGACAAGGAGATTATGAAAGACAATTGAACTTACCTGTTACTTCCCTTTGTGATCGCCAAACAACATCAGTACCAAAAATTCAAGCAGGATTTTTCCGATTTGTTGTCTCTCCATTATTTGAGGAATGGCACAGATTTTTAGGAACAAAGTTATCTCATCTAATGATGAAACATTTACGTGGAAATCAAGGAAAATGGGAAGCTATGGTTGAAAAAGAACTGGCTGAAGAAACACATACAGAAGTTTCTGATGCTGATGTTTTGGATGAGGAAGTTGAATGCAATTCAGAAGAAGAAGCTCAAGATTTCGTTACTGGAAGTGTGGAAATGTTAATACCTAACTTACCATCTCACCAGGCAACTGCTGCAAGCAGTGATGATAAATATATACGGAAAATAGGGAGACGGCATTCAGTTCCCCTGAGTGTTCCACGACCTCCTCCATTTGCCCAGACAATCATTCGTCGAGAAAGTCTGCCAGTTGGCGACAGTAAATCAAAGAGATCATCTCCAACAAGTAATCTTACTTTAGAAACAAGACCAGAGCGCAAAGAACATGGCAGTTCACTTTCTCTTGTGTCGTCATGTAGTGGTAGTGGTTTGCAGCATTCTTCCGGTAGACGCAGCAAGCAAGAGAATCGACCTGTCAGTACAGAAAATCTTCTTCCAGAACCCAGTATAGCATCCATTACAACAAGTGTAGAAGCTAGTCGTCTCTCCTCAGTGTTACATGGAGCAAGTAGTAGCGTATCTCGATCAGTATTAGCCCCATCAACGTTGGGCCCTGCCCGATTTCTCACCAGGCAACAGACATTTCCTCCCCTTCAGCAATATGTGCGTATTCGTTATATGTCTACAACTGCTGAAATGGCTAATTGCTCAGAACCTTTGACAGGAATTGGCAGTTACTCCAACTCATCTACCTCTTCTCATGTTGACTTTGTCAGTAATGTTCCATCTCGTAGAGCATCAGAAGCAATGGCTGACTCTCAAAGTAGCCCTGAAAGTACTGGAGGATGTAAAAATGGATGTGGTACTCCTACAGGTCGGCCAAGAGCTCTTCAACACAATAACAGGACTAGTGTTGAACAGCTATTCCAGTGCACAAGTGGATGCAGTGTTGAAAGTGATAGGGACACAAGTTTAAGATTTATGTGCAAAAAAGAACAAACTGATCAAACTGAATTACTTCGTGATAAAAGTTCCAATGGCTCCAAGATTTGTGACACAACATTGCTACAACAGATCACAAGTGGTAAAGTGATGACTAGTGATGACTATGGCAAAGAAAATGTTGATCCAAGGAATTCTGGTAGTGATGTGGACCAAGATATAAACATTAGTGGTAGCAAAAATAGTATATTACGGAGAAATTCACATCAGGTAAGAAGTATTCAAGTTCTCAATAAGAGTGAAGCAGAGATATTCTTTTATGTTTTAATCAAAGTTTGGATTTAGTTAAATTGGTGATTAGGTGGAAAATATTAACCATTAAAATAAACATTTGATATATTTTTATTTCCAGTATTATATTATTTATACCTCTTAATACATGTATTGAAGTTCTCAAAGATATCCTAATCATGCTATTAGCTGCATCTCAGTTTCCAGTCAATTTTTATGACTTGATTACTGTGGACTAGTGAATCTCGACCCAACAGCCAAATAAGAACAGTTTATATTGCGAGAACAATAAAGGAATCAAAATTAATGTCTGTATTTATGTATGAGATGGGCTTTTTATGGGAAGACACTCCTTTACTAATATTATTATTTTTTTCTCAAGTTCAAGTAGGATCAAGGACTTTCTGAAAAGCATTTTTCCTAGAATTCTTACATTTTTGTTATAAGGTGTAAAGTGTATGTTAGAGAAATAATGCTAGATCCGCATGTTACATCCACGGAGTTCCCAGACGGTCACCCATTCAGGAACCCGCGACATCTCGAGTTGCTTAATCTCCGTGACTTCGCGGTCGTTAAGCAATTCGGTTACCGACCAGGGGCGGATCTAGTCGATCATTTAGGGGGGGTATCATAGATTTTTGTTAAATAATAAATATTTGTTATTATTGTATATTGTTGATGTACTGTAGATATGATACTATACAATATTATTGTTTAAATAATTACATAATTCGAATATAAATAAACATTTAAATCAATTTTGCCAAATAAAAGAAGATAAACGAAACTTCTAGGCCTTTTTTGGGGGGAGGGGAGACATGACCCCCATGGCAATCTCCTGGCTACCGACGTTGCACTTTGCAAATACCAAAGCCGGCAAGTTGGGGTCAAAAAGGGCGAGATAAAAATTCAATGAGATAAACATAAGTGGAAAGAATGGTTTTAGAATTCAAATTACATTATTGTTGATTTTATTATTATTATTATTATTATTATTATTATTATTATTATTATATTATGTCTTATTATAATTGCCATCATCATACCCATAATCCAATCTGCAGTTATTTGGCTGGTTGATACTTTTTGGATTTCGGTCCCACCCAAGGACCATGGAATCCCAGAGGGATCTAACAGGATGTAGTCTGTGTCCAGTGGCGCGGTCTTCTGTAGTTAGCTGGCTTAACTTCCATTAAGGTGTTCATCAAGGTGCTCGTCACGTCTCCGAGTACGACCTGTAGATACTGAGATAAATTATTGTGATCCAGCGTTTCCATAGTCTTTCCACTTTTATTCGGTGATGACGCTATTTCATTGTTTTCTTGATCCCCTGGTCCATGCGGGAATTAGCTGGGATGACCATTTCCTCTACCTGAACCTGTTTCTCATAAACGACGGTGAGATCTGTCGTGATATGATCCAACCGGCGGTCTTTCTGGATCTAGAAGTACCAAAGTATTTTCGTATTTGGGTTTTCAATCGTTGACCTTTCTGCCTAGATTTACTGTGTAACCACTCTAATATGGCGTTGTTTGAAATCAGCACAATCTTGCTAAAGATTGTATCGTCTTGTTTGCGCATTCTTCACTTGCCGTGCCCGGTAGTCCTATCTACTCTAGCTTAAATGGCCTTAGTAGGCCTGTTCTTGGTTTGCTAAGACATGACTTTCGGTCTCATAACGTCCCTTCTTACGTTCTTCGAGGAGCCACATCCACCTTGAATTTTCATTGTATTTTGCCAGTGTTTGCTTCTATTTGAACGACCTTGTATAACTGCTAAAGTCCACGGTCTCCTGATTTTCGAGTCTGTCGACATCGCTGCGCGGGTGGAGAACGGACAAGCTGTCGTTATGTGATTAGGCGATTCAAAATTATCCATCCCTCCTTGCGTCCAATTTACCCGTGTACTCGATTATCGCTACTACCCAGGTGTTGATAGCCTTGGGTGCCTACTCTGATTCCGGGTGTGTCGACTGCTAATGTGTTTTAGTGCCGTAAGTGTAGTCCTGTTTTATCGCGAGCGGTGGCGGTAATCTTCCCCGCTGGAAGGCGAGATCCGGCGCCTACCTACCCATCGGTTTGTAGGATTTTCCCCAGCCAGGTATCTCACCAGCGGGGCACCGCCCCAGCCGGGACAAGCTCTAAGCTCCCGACATGTGTGGTAGTAAAGTGCATGTTGGTGTTAATATATAAGGGGTGAAGATAGGAAGAGGAAGGAAAGATAGCGCGGTCCGTGGCTGCTGCACTGTTGGGGTATTGCTCCGGCATTCGCCTGGTGTTGATCTGAGAAACCACGGAAAACGACTGTTCAGAGTAGCCGGCCGCGATAAGTCTCCAGACACCGGTTGAATTTGGCTCTCTAGCTAGTGTCGAAAATCTTTTCACCGTCCGGACTCGAGCCCCAGCACCTCCCGATCAGAGGCACTGCAGCGCCATCAATTGACCTATCTTCCATCGTTTATTTTTTAATAATAAGACCCTTAAGTTTGTCCTCTAACAAGGGCCCTGATTGTGACATGACAGCCTGCCAAAAATTATAAATTTGTGAGAAAACTAACCATTAAAAAATGTGTTTAAAAACTATTATTTAAGTATATAGAATCACGAAGAATCAATGTGGCCAATTTGAAGGATATTTCCCGTTTCAAATGGGAGAATTCTCAAAAATAAAAAATTGAAGTGAGTTCGAAGCCCCCGTTCGTCTGCTTTTCAGAGGGTCGAGACGATAACGCGCAACCTGCCATCACCGCGCGCATTGCACTGTACATTCAAATTGAGTGGCGACACATTCGTTTTCAGCAAAGCTGAAATTTGGTGGATAGAAAGATCTCCACTCTCAGAATGAAATGCTCAAGGCAATAAACATTCCTTTTTAATCACTTTACACATTATACACTCTACAAACAAGAGGATGATCTTGAGTGATTATATATTCAATGCAGCTTCATTATTTTGCCTTCTGTCGTATGGCAGCTTGGTGACATTCGCTCCTAGACAATGACGAATCTATTAGAAAATGATTCACATTCTCTCTTCTGTTATACGAGATATATAGTAGTCATTGCTTTCCACACCACGGTCTCATTGAGTGCAATCCGTGATGTTTGTATTAGTAAAGAAACTAGTCAGCTGTGACTCTTTATGCCGTATTGAAGTATTTATTTCCTGCAAATGAAAGTAAATTAATTCTTATTACTGTATTCTGTAATTTTCCATAATAATATAATATAATTATAGTACATTATGACAATTCTCTGCCGGTATAGGTTAGTCGGTAGTTTTCCATGGTTTCTCCGATCAACTTAAGGAGAAAGCCGGAGCAGTACCCTTACAAATGGGTCACGGACCGCGTGCGATGGAGGGAAACCCTGCTAGCCGACGTGTAGGTCGGCGTCGGATCCAGCGGGAAAAGATCACAGCCACCTCCCGCGATAAACAAATTGCACTACACTTACGTGACTAATGTCCTTAACAATTGACGCTGCCGGAAACACCAATCAATCAATATAATTTTATGATCTCTATTTTCTATAAACTATATTCATTTATATCACTACAACTCACCTTATGAGTCCCCATTTTTTAAAGGTCTCACTAAGGCCACTTGTTTCGTAGTACAAGTACAAATTTGTGAATGTAATATGTACTCTCTATCCGCTAGGGAATATCTAATTCTAGTCATCTTCATATTAGGGCCTAGGCCCGAAAATCTGGAATTTCGACAGTTTCAAAAATTAAATTTTCTTTTTGATTCGTCGGGAAAATTGATCGAATGTCAGCAGCCAAGTGGTCTAGTGATGAGCTGTTCAAATGCAAGATTTCGGGGCAAACTGTTTTTATTGTCCCTTGGTACATACGAGGAGAAAATTTGAAGAAAAAATTGGAGCGGCTTTTGGATATTGCTTAAATTTCAGACACAAATTACGCAAAATCCACTTTTTATTCAGAAAATTGTACCCGACCTTGAAAAAAAATTAAAGAGGTGCTTTTTTACAACAGACTTTGTCTAAGACACTTAAATCTATGAAATCTTTATCTTCAATTTTGTAGTTTGGAAATGTCAACATTTTGCAATTTTTGAAAAAAAACGGGGATTTTGTCGAAAATGGGATCTTTTAACGTCCCTTATTCCATATGAGAAGAAATTTAAAGAGGAAAATTTGGAGCGGTTTTTGAGAAAAAATTGTTAAAAAAATTAATTAAACCTATTTTACGCAAAATTACATGAAAAACATTCATTTTAAAAATTTCAGAATATTTTATTGTTTGAAAAATTGAACATGAACTTATTTGAAGATTTGCCTTTAAGGAACAGATTCCATTGAGGGAAAAAACTTTGTTTTCAATATTGTTGTTGTAACAAGACGCCCCCAAAAAATGCACTTCTGCAATTTTCGAAAAATCAGGGGTTTTAATGAACATGAGACCTACACCATTTTCTTAAGCGTTCCTTAGGCTATCCGACAACCAACTTTAATTAAAACATTTGGAGTCATTTTTGAGAAAATTTTAAAAATGTTTTTGAGGCTTCACGTAAAGTACCCTCAAAGATCAAAATATCAATTTGAAACTTCTAAACCCTCGGGTTCGTTCAGATCGATCGGGGAATATCAAGTTTGGAGAAAATCGTCTGAACAGTTTAGGCGCTAGCGTTGACTACAGACGGACGGACCAACGGACAGGCAGGCGTTTTGCCGTCAATCGATTTTTCGGCATCATGAACCCACAAAACACAGATTCTGGCTACACCACGTGTTAGAAAGTAATTTATCCATGTTTTGGTTGACCGGACCCGCAGTAAGAGTCTCTCTGCCGAAAATTCGCCGTCTTCTGATACACGATTACATAACTTTCTGTTCTGACAAAGTGTCTTTGTAAGGAAAAGAAAGTAAAAAAATAGATTTTTAAATGTGTGCAAATGTTTGAAAACTAGTAGTTTCATCAAATTTTTTTCTTGAAAAGGCAATTTATAAAAAAATG